TAGGAAAATCAAGAACAGCGTTTTTAGAAAACAAGTACCTATCACCATGAACCTTTAAAACGCAAAATATACTGTAAGTCGAACACTGATCACAGACAGTCAGAAAAAATGCAGTTGAAAATTCCAGGTGTACAACCACCGGAGTTTCATAAATCACCACAAAGAATGGTTGGAATTAGGGCTTCAGCAGTATTTGGTTTCTTGTGCCGAAAACGTCCCCCCCCCCCTAGGTGGTGCAAAACCAAATGCGGACGACAAGACTGGGATTCTGTTAGCTTGTTCACTATTTAACTAGTGTGGACTCAGCATCAGATATCTGTGCATCCCTGTCGATTGGACAGGTCACCCTCATGGCCTTTAGGCCAGGCGGTGGACCTCATCCGCTCAATCACGAGTGGGTCTTCGCATTCACCTCGCCAAGTATCTACAACTCGGTTACCATTACATTGATTGAAGATGTATGTTAAGCCGCGTACCAGGTTGTAGTATTGGACGCATACTCATGGTGACCATAGGGGACAAGAAAATATGTCGCCTCCGATCAGCGTTTTTACTTAGATAAATAACAACCGAACCGATTCAAAGAGAAGCTGTCTTAATTGCATTCTAATTTCACTGGTTTTCAAACCGAAAACCAAACGACCGATGTAAGCACATCATCTAAAACTTTAAAAAGCATCTCGCGAGGTCGAGAAGTCCCAAATGAGTACTCGAGTTGCACTTACGTTCAGTTGAGGGNTGAGGGTAACCGAGAGCTCAACTCCCGGCGAGTCGGTGTCTAACGTACGTGTTGTGCTGACGAAGTCGGTTTCACGACTTAGCGGCCGAGACAATGACTCCGTACTCACCAGAGGTAAGTGGAATCCTGTTCAGCCAGCAACTAACTGTCAATGGCGTATGAGCTCCTCACAGAGGGCCACCGGCAACCATGAGCCACCCTCCTGATGCCGTGCAGTTAGCTCTTGAATGCGCAAAGGCTAGAGATGCCAGCTCGACCCAAAGCCGGGTGACGCTGGGGGCGTTTCCTGTACCTTAGTCCCATGAAATTTCATGGATATGCACTCAACCTGTCTTGCTAATCATGCTACGGCGTTCCAGGGAAGCGACGCGCCCTGTGCTCCTCCAGTGGCCCGGGAGACAAGTATGCGTACTGGGCACCTCAAACTACGCAGAACTTCTTACATTGGATGCCTAAATGTAAAAACACTCTTAGATGCCGGGAGTCAGGCACTAACAATACGCGGGCTGCATGACTATCAGCTGGATATTACATGCCTCTCAGAAGTCAGATTGGCGGGTTCCGGCTACAAAAGTAGAAAAATCCCAGTAAACCTCTCAGTAATCGCCCCGACTCTCCCATCTGAATACAACGTCAAGGATGAGTTCTATGGCAGCCTTCAATCGCTTGTTAATGAAATACACAAACGGGATGTACTTGTCATAGCAGGGGACTGAAACGCTCGAACTGGTCCACAAGCAGAGACCACGAAACACATTAGAGGTTTGGCCTGGGCCAGCGCTGCGAGAATGACGACAGACTACTCAGCTTCGCCGATTATAATCGATTGTGTATTACAAACACGCGGTTTCAGCATCCAAAAAGGCATCTTCTAACGTGGTACTCTAACGACGGCCGAACGGCGCATCAAATTGATTACGTTCTCATCCGTTTACGATGGGTTTCTTCGATTGAAGACTGTCAATCCTATCGCGGAGCTGAATGCGGAAACCAAAGCGGATCTGATCACGTACTGGTTCGCGCGAAAGTTAAACTCCTGTTAACCATTCACAGGAAAACCGTCCCCTCAAAACGCCTAAATGTGCTTCCACTGAAGAACAGCGAGAAATGCCAGACACTAATAGGCATGATAACTGCACAGCTGTCAAATGATCCCCTCGGTACACAAGGTAACACGGGGAGCTCGGTTGAAACTCAGTGGACCTGGATGAAGTCATCGATACAACAAGCTGCTCTACACATAGTAGACCACGTTGTCTGAAGGACTGGATATCCAGCCACACCATCCAGTTAACTAATGCGGCCAGAGAGGCCCGTCTAGCTCAATCGTCTGCTTATCGCGATCTCAGACGACAAGCAACACAATCAGCCAAAAACGACAGATGCAACTACTGGAATGAAATGGCTACAAAAATGGGGACAGCAACCAACCTGGGCAACACGGCGACCCTCTTCCGACTTATTCGATCAGCATAGAGCAACAAATAGGTCACCCACTCTGTGCTGTGCAGCGCCTCCGGTGAGCTCATTTCTGATGCGCAGGGAAAAATGTCCCGGTGGGTGGAACACTTTAGTCTTCTTCTCAATCGCCCTCAAATCCAACTGCCGTATGCGCCCTCCTCGCCATCTTCTCTATACGAAGCTAACTGCGCTCCGCCATCAGTAGAAGAAGTCTCAGATATCATCAGCTATCTCAAACCACGGAAATTTCCTGGTGAGGACGAGATACCCGCGGAAATCCACGTAAAGTGTTCTTCAGCCATTTTAAATCATCTTCATAGCTTACTGCGTGCAATCTGGAAAACCGAAATTTGCCCAACTGACTGGACCACATCGATCTTACTACCTTTCCCTAAAAAGGGTGAAAGATCAGTGTGCGAAAACTACAGAGGCATCAGCTTACTTGACGTGGCGGCCAAGGGTTTTGCACAACTTTTGCCGAACCCCTTTGCTGCAGCGAGGCACGCACGAACTCGTCCTAACCAGAGGGGATTCCGCCCCGGTGTGGGTTGCGTCGATCAAATATTCACTCTAAGTCGATTCTCGGAACATTGCCACAAGTTTCAACAATCTACAACAGTCTGCTTCTTTGACTTTCGTGCGGCATTCGACTCCGTAGATCGTGAATCCCTCTGGAACATAGTTCTGGCCGATGGTGTCCCAGCCAAACTTGTCAACCTAATGATATCCTACTATTCTAACACTAGCGCCCGAATCCGTATTTACGGAGAGGAATCTTGCCCGTTCGGGTTAGGATCTGGAGTGCGACAGGGGCGCCCATTGTCCCCAATGCTGTTCAACTTTGCCGTGGACTGGATTATGTCACTCGGTGGAAGGATATCAGGGAGTCCAGATCTCTCTGAACTTATGGCTCACCGACTTAGCATTTGCGGATGATATTTTCGTCTTTGGTGAGGACATGTCTAACCTCCAAGTAATCGTTGACCATCAATCGACAGGCCTCAGAGATCGATCTAGAGGTGAACACATCAAAAACCAAAACCTTTGTGACCGTCCCGATTCATCCCCAGAATGCTTTACTACTAAACGACGAGTGGATCGAATCCGTCGAAAGCTTCAAATACTTGGGCCCAACCTTCCCCTCTAATGATCAAGCTAAAGACGAGGTGCAAATGCTGCAAGAAGGGCGTTTTTACAGTTAAAGGATCCCCTTTGGGGCAGAAACGAAATCAACCTCAAAACAAAAATCCGAGTTTTCTCCGCAGCAGTCCGTCCTGTCTTGCTTGACGGCTGTGAAACCGGGCCACTCAGAGTCGGAGACTGTCACAGATTAGAAGTCTTGGATCACTGGTGCTTAAGAATCGTTCTGGGAGTACGATGGCGGCATCAACTCTCAAACGAAGCGATCAGAAATCGGTTTTAATCTTGTACGACTGAGGACTTTAATACAACGGCGACGACTACAATGGTTTGGCCACATTTTTCGTAAGTCCGATAAAGACGAAAGGATACTGAAGACCTTGGTCTCCGCTCCGTCTACGGCGTTCGCCAATGGAAGTTAAGCTGGATCACAATATGCACCGATCTTGCCGCAGATCGCCGAACGTAGGCAGCGGCAAAACGAGATATCCATGGCGCCGGCTTATCCTCTCCCAGGAGCTAGCCGCCATACAGTAAGTACTCACGTTCAGTCCATTTCATGTGTCCACTAACCGCTTACAGCTACTGCGAAGTACGCGTCAATCCCAAGCTTTAGGCATTTATCCAAAGGATGAAATTGTACATCGTGGCATTACATTGGAACACAAATAGCAAGAACCAGGAAAATATGCTGGAGACCCTGCATGAAAAAACCCCCAAGGTATTGGCAAGAACATAGACCGAAATAAGCACTTGGCTACCCACCGTTAGCGGTATGCAGCTTCACCACTGTCTGGTTCAATACCACAGGCACAATGTGAAAGCCAAACCAAGTTTGTTTACGTGATCCTTATCTCGGCTTGGTCATTAGTGCACCCCGCGTAGGTGTATTGTTTTGCTTCTTCAGTAGGGGCTGGGGTAAAGCTAAAGTCCGGACGAACTGCTTCTGATTATAATCAGAACAGTTTTACACGAGTTAATCCCTTATCGTACAGGCTTGGTTATTTTTAAACACGCACATCTCGGTTAGGTAAGGATGCACGGAAAACGAGTAATCTGGTCGCCATAATGCCGCATCTTTCGTAAAGATCTTTTCAATCGGATAACGAGGAAAAAGGCAAGACAGAAGCACCATTGAGCTTTCTAGTGAGAAATCGACGGGCTCGAAACCAATCGAGATTCCTCCACGATTCAGGGTTAGTTTACTAACCAGGTGAAAAACCCACCCCGATCGGAATCAGCAACAGTTCTTGAAGTCATTTAGAATCAACCGGTGACAGATTGAGAAAATAACAAGCGTAGAGAATACATACACACAAAAAAGAACATCCACACCGACCGATACTCATATCGAAACATACAATGGTGCGTTGTTCCATTGGGGCTGGTGAAATGAGAGTGAGAGAAAAAAGTGCAAAACCCGGAGGAGAAACGTATAAAACAAATGAATACTAGCATGAACAAGAACTGGCATAAAATGCGATCAAGAAAGAGATGGTTGATTGCAACAGTGGCACCGGATTCACGGGGTATTCGAATTGCTTCTTGTGTTTGCCTTTTCCAACCCAAACCAAGTTTGACAACTCGAACGGACAGAAAAGAAGCGCGATTTCCAAGGAACGAAAAATGGTAGAGAAAATATCCATAGTCGGTTGATCTATTAATAGTCCACGAGTTTGCGCACCGCTTCCAGACAACGAAATCGATCTGGCAAATAGAATGGCTCGAAAATATGCGGGAACGGTGTGTCGTAGCCGGCGACCCGCGAAACGGGAGCCTCCAAATTGAGGAAGCATGCATCCTATCGGACGAGCAAGTGTGGGATGAGGAAGGGAGTATTTAATAACAAATTACGTGTGAAATCCAAGGATGTGTTTAATTGACTACAATGCAAAACCGGAATCATGCAAATGAGTTAAACGACGTCAGCGCAAGAGAAAATACCCATCGTACAGCTATCAGTGACTCAGAAAACTAGTTCAAGAGTTCAATATCGGATCAATCAAGGCTCAGTTGCCCGGAAAACATGAATTGTTTCAAGAAGGTTGGCGAGAACTTAACACTTTACTAATGATTGGGCCGGCACAACTTATCCCACCATTCGAGAACAAACCCCGCTGTAGTATGGAATACCCTGAGCAGCATACTGCATTAGTCGCTAATCGGGGAATCACAAATCACTTTCGAACGCAGGATCACCGGCCTTGAAACGTAAACTCTGTTGCCGCAAAGGATCTATTCTAGAATTCAAATGATAAACTTACAATCAATTTAATAACAAAGGAAAACGACGAAGAATGTATATGTTCTGACCGAGGGAAGAAATAAAACGTCAACGGTTAACAACACCCAGAGAACACAGTATGACTGCGCTTGCACACCACTCTGAACTGTACGCCAGACAGTAGGTCGGGCGACACCTACCACAGTTTTTCACTCATGCCTGGACTTCACATCAGTTGTCAACTTTCAAATGCTAAAGATAAGTGATATTGGGTGTGCATAATAAGTATCATAATCAGCGAAGCCTACTCAGTTGAATACGATGTGATACCGAACTTCCACATACTTGACGATTGATCTAAATCTTACCAACCCGCTCGCTCCAGGTAACCATCACTAAACTAAATGAACATCGATAGAGGTCTAGCACATACAAACCCAAGGTCTCACAACCACAGATGGGAGTTGATCCGTCTGAACACGCATTTTGGATAGCACTAAAGGCGTTCCCGAACATTTGGTCCACGATGAAATTGAACAGGAATGGCAAACACCACGACCAGTGAAGAACAATCTACTGAATTGGCCAAAGACCCTAAATCGATCATAAGTATGTGATCGTCGTGACCTTAGATGGTTTCGCTAATTTTCAAACGACGCGTACAACAAACTCGAGAGAGATACAGAGACAAGAACAAACACAATCATGTCATATTTTCAAATCATGAGGCGGGTCGTGTGAATGACGGATGTCAGCAATGGAAACACAGCGAGAGAATCAGTGGATTTGGTAAAAGGTACCTGAATTGATGCGGCCAATTCGGCGCCAAATCCAGAGGACAGTGGTGCTTCGTGAGCGATCAGGCAGCGACCAGTTTTGCGGACAGACTGAGAGGGTTCAGGGGACAAACAAATGGACGAGAACCAGTAATAAACACACCGGGCATATGATAAAACACCGCATCCGCTGGAATGAACACAAATGCGGTCCGCGGGTCGATGAAAAACAGATAGTTGTCTTTTATAGCGACAAAGAATGGATGCCCTGGTTGGCTGGTTGACATATGTATCGCTGTAGCCTAATCACTTTGTTGGCGAACCAAAACGTCGGTATTCATCAGAGATAGAGATGCAAGATGCCTGACATCCCCCCACACACTGGGCAAGCCAATGAACACCAAATTGGTGGTCAGCAAAGAACTACGAGTCCCAGTTCACTGGATGAGAAACTGAGGACGAACAATGGCAATATTCGAACATGCAGTGGGTTTTCGCTTGGCAAGATTGTTCACTATAAAACATCGCATGTGCCTAATGACAAAACTGCGACGTGGCGAATGTGACCCACAAGAAATAGGTCATCGCTTCTTGTTCCAATCCATCTATCATACAGAATGCTTTACAGAGGAGGCGAAAAAAATATTGAACAGGTTTGACCACAGATTTGTCTGGAACAGCCCTACCACCCTCTAAGTTTGAAGTGTATGAGCAAACGTTAGAGGCGAAACCAGGACGTAAAGACCGAGTGAGACTGGATACACCGATCGTCAGTCTGTTTCCAGAGAATCTGAATACAAATAATTGAGTAAGCATCTTGATGACAATCCACTGTTGATTTGGGTGGGTGCCATATTGTTAGGTTATCCCAACCGAAGAAGGCGATTTGCTTTGAGCGTTCAAAAACGAGGAATCCTCGTCTAAACATAGAATGACCCGAAAGGAAGCTGTGCAGCGAATGAATACCGTAGTTATTATTGTACAGTGAGACGGGTTTCAAGCCCTCAGGAAGGAGTTCACATACCCCAAGAGTAATACATATATATAACAAATAAATGAGCCGTGCTTCCAGTAGCAACTGTCAGTGGGGTTTGATGAGTATGCCACCTGACTGTGAGTGTAGAGTAGATCATGAGAAACAGAAAACTGGTTACATTTTACCCTCTCTTTCATCTAGAAAGAGAGGGTAAAATGTAACAAAAAGTTGTTGTATAGACTATTGACGTGTTTCCCATGGTGATTTGATCTTAAGCCATATTCATTTTAGTCCTCGCGCACGGTTTCTAGACCGGTTCAATGAGGGGAATAGAGAGATGACCAAACAGCCAGTCGGTGGTTTTACTCGGTTAGTAAGTTAAACAAAAAGGAGTGGAGGGGACAAAGTTGAGCGGGATGTAAGGTCTGTTCGATCGCCCAAGCTCCTTCGAAGTGCACGATCGCTGTTTAATTGTGTCACTCGGTAAACAGAGGTGAAGACCAGGAGTAAAGGCTAAAATTCACGAGGTTAAATTGGCATTGGAAACACCGTAGATCCTACAATCACTAGAATAGAGTAATGGGGTTGCACGTCAGGAACAGATTGACCCTGAAATAACGAACCGAGCAAATGCAAAGAACAGCTGATACATATTTAAATCTCAGAAGACCAACGATTGGGCACAAAACCGAGTAACTGGCACGTATGGCGTCAAAATGTCGGATAGATTTATAGTACACACCCATGAAAATCAATGAGACCAAATTCGGTTTGAATGCCAACGCGCGTAAGGACAAAGTATCGGAAAAATGATCTAGGTACACATGATCACTCTGATTATGAAACTTATCGACCCAAAGCCAAACAGAGAGAGAGAGAGAAAGAGCAAAGTCTATTCACGTTGATAGTGACAAAGTTCTTAGGCATCGCAAATCGAATCCATAATTAATGAGACGCGTGGAGATACATTAATGTCTACACCAACTGAAGTACCCGTCTAAATGCACGATGAAAAGGAAGGATAACTGTTTGATACAGACATGCACGCACGCACGCCGCACCAGACTTGGGAGCCAGAAACAGGATATTGCCTGCCACCAGCCTGGGGCCGATAGACTGGCCCGTGGACCATCAGACGAATCATATGTGGTGCACGTTCAAGGTCCATCGTGTGGCCAGCCAGCGGACTGAAGGCCATTTAACCCAGACGACACGTATAGGGAAAGCAAGTGGTACGGGACCCGACACGTTCCCAGACGGCATAGAACAAAGCGTTCTTGGAATAAATCAACCAGTAGACGTACCAAAAATTTCGGGGACTGAGAGATGGGAAGTATGTGTGTGTGTGTGTCAAAGCTAATGGCCAAACAGCGCACGAATGAATGTCTACTACTGATAAAAAGCATCAGCTGGACCGCGTATATGGCAGTTTACCGAGCATGAACTACATGGTCCTTGTTCGAGAATGTATGTAAATCGATAGGTTGACACAATACGGCACAGAAAGAATTCAGTTGTGTGCACTATAAGTTGCTGCTATATCAAACTCTTGTGCGCAGTTTAACCACCTACCCACTATTCAGACCTTGACCAGGTGTGATTGGATCGGGACCAGTATTGGTAGAAATGATTAAAAAGAATTAGCACTCATGTCCGTACAAGTTCCAGAAACAAGTGCTTTGTAAATCCTGTGGCAAATGTGTCTCTCATTCACTCATTTACACTTCTAAAATCCAGCCCAAAACCGTTCGACGAGAGCCTAACACCGTCAAGAAGAATGATTTTATTGAAAAGACACCACTACACCCGGCTCCTACTCTTTCAGAAAATTGTTCAAAAGTTTGTTCGTCTTAGAAATCGTGTAAGTGCAGGCCATCTGTGAAACAAGATCCACACACCCATCAATAAAGCTCAAGTGGTGACATTATAATATCAGCCTCTGATTGAAGGATTCATTTTATGATGATACAATTCAGTCTTTTTTGTATGACTGCGATTTGATCCAATTTGTACTAGTATAGGATAGCCATAAATGAATTGCCTTTGATGCACTGCTGATCGATGATGCAGTCAACCAAAGAATTTTCAGATCACATATTTAATGTCACCGTCCGATTGTTATGCGGAATAACCGCAAATGTCAACCGAATTTTTCGTGTTTTGAATTGGCGGTGCGTTGTCACTGACAATAGGGTAGTATCGTCAACATACCCTAAGGCTACGACTCTGTCTCCTGGGAGAAGCTCAACGCCAGCGTCCGTTAGGTTAATCAAACATTTGGCAGAACAGCACCTATATCAAAGTTGAATAGAAACAGAGAGATAGGGCAATCCTGTCGTACCCCGATGGTGACAGGAAACGAGGGTGAAAGTTTACTACAGGCACTAAGCTTGAATGAGATGTGACAGTAGAGACCTTTTAGAGGTAGAAAACACGTCTCTGATAATCCGTATCTCAGTGTTATATTTTGCCGAACCATCACCGAAACTGGTTTAACGATGCGTAACTCAACGATTTCAGTAAAAAAGACAGTTGGAAAACACTGTGAGCCTTTATTGGTAACACCAGCCAAAATGGGGTCGTGATAGTGGTCAATTAACGAAAGAAACATGTGGTATTTATGGGGTTGCTCACTGCCTAAACATCTGTCCGGAATGGGGGTTACGTGAGTGGCGATGGAGGACTTGCCAGAAATCAGGTCACCGTGTTCTGTATTTTGACGCTGACGCTCACGTATCCAGTACGATAGAGAAACTGCCGATACGTTCAGACGGTCGCGACTGATCCCGATCCGGTTCTGATTCATACCGTGAGAATTCTCAGAAGGTTAAGCTTCTCCTGACATTCAACAAAAAAGTCTATTGGGAAGGGTGATCGACGGAGTCCAAGGCTGCTTTGATGTCTGGAATCACCACAATAGTTTGCGGTCTATGTGTGACTGTGTTCCAGAAACTGATAGAGAGTGGATATTTGATCTGTGCAACCGCGGCTCGCTCTTCGGCGATTAGCCTCTCACAAATTGGGCTTGGTCTGCGTAATAAAACGGAAGCTAACAGCTTCGACGCTACGGTAAACAAACTTGTTCTTGTGTTTGGAAAAAAATTGCGATAGACCTTCTTGCAAATGGGTGTAACAAACGATTCTCCTCATGAAGAGGGAAAAATTTCGTCTTCACCTGTCTTCGAAAGCAAACTGACAATCTCTCGCACGAGAAATTCTCCATCACCTCTGAAGAGTGCCTATGGCAAGTTGCCTGAACCAGACACCTTGTGACGTTTCCGGGATGGAGCTCCTTTCAGATCTCTTCCTCCGTGGGTGATGCCACGGATAGTGACCAGGGCACATTTTCGAGAGAACTACATGCGGTAACCAGCTTGGGAGGCTGGTTGAACTACTATGTAAAGTGCTATGCTCAGCGTCTAAAGAGTCAATGAAGGCTTTATACTAGTGTGGTTTACCTACCACCCACTGTTTTTGAGGCTAGTTACACGGATGAGTCGGAACAAATGCCGGATGCGTTCACCCCTAGCTACTGACTCCATGTCCTTTGCACGTAGCACCCATCAAGATTCTCAGTCCTCTCTTAAGCTGTGTGATTTTGTGCTTTGATGATAGGCTGCCTTCCCAGATTACCATAGCGCATCAATATTTAAGAGGGTTGGAGGAAACCGAGTGTCTTACAGCTCGGCGGGTAATGCTACAATTGCGTAAACTGACCGTGTATTGCGTTCCGGATCCTTGCCCAGTGTTGATCTACAGTCCTTAGTGGGGTAGTAGTTACCCTTGCAGCCAACTCATATTGTTGGTCAGTGATAAGAAGTCTATCTTCATCAAAATGAGCCTTATCGAACGATAGACAGCCAACGTATGTATTCAGGTCCCCAGCCGAAATCACGATATACTAGTTTTATGTGCTCTCAGAAGAAGCTCGTGTAAGCTGTGGTAGAAACTATCTTTAACTGAATCCGGGCTATGGTCTGTGGGAGTGTATGCAGAAACCACGAATAAGCATCATCCGTCTTATTTCTGTTTGCTGACTTTACACGAATCTCGGAGTCTCACTGACCATGGCCGCTTGTCTATCAGGATTCAATCGAATAGAGCAACCTCGTCCCTGGCGATTAAGGTGATACCAAAGCCTACTTGACGAGAAACGGATGCGACTAGAGGTAAGCTGGTGATACACCGACAACAACCCATATGATTAACAT